CCACCCCCCACAACATGATCTACTGGACCACCATTATGGTTGGCCCCCAAAAAAAAAAAACGAGGTAAAAAAAAAAAAACGGTAACCTGGTTGCCGAGTTCACGAAGTGACTTGGCTTGTTTTACAACGTCGTTGCCAAGCGACGAAAACCCAACCTCGATGGCAAACATCGGGGGCGGCGGGGGGGGGTGTACTCAAAGTCGTGCATGCCGTAGTCGTTAGACCATTGACCTCGCATCCCTATAAAGCCGGGACGGAGCACGCCGGGTTCTCACTGGACCAGGCTCTCACATCACCAAGCGCGAAGCGCCGTGAGGTATTCGGCGAGTCGCATGAAGGGTGCGCTGCATCCTGGTAAGGGTGTTCGGCATCTTGTGCTTACTTCCTTGCGTACGGATGACAGCTGCGTATGACTTAATTTATTTTCTGGTGCTTTCACTTCCAGAGTCAGTTAAAGCACTGTGTAACTGCCTCGAGGACGCTTGACCATTTTAACACAACGTGGTGCAATCATCCCCCGCGGAGTGAGGGTTCTCCACCCCGCACAACATGATCTACTCGACCACCATTATGGTTACCGCCCAAAAAAAACAAAGGTAAAAACTATCTGGTAACCTGGTTGCCGAGTTCACGAAGTGACTTGGCTTGTTTTACATCGTCGTTGCCAAGCGACGAAAACCCAATCCCGGTGGCAAACACCGGGGGGGCGGCTTGTTTTACAACGTCGTTGCCAAGCGACGAAACCCAACCCCGATGGCAAACACCGGGGGGGCGCGGGGGGGGGGGGGGGGAATTTAAGAAAAATTTTTTCCCCCTGGTTTTTTTTTTTAATTCTTTGGCCTCCAACGCCTTCAAAAAGGCACGTCAAAAAATCCTGGTTAACCTGGGGGACAAAAAAAAAAGAAACGATGTGAAACACTTTATATGTTCCTAGAATGCCTGCGCTAGCAATGGACGTGTTGTTGCTGGAAAACCACACGACAATCATTATCCACATGCATGCTCCAACCAATTTTCGGTTAAGCTAAACGCCCGGAGCATGTAGCATCACGCCTCTACGCGCGTGAAAGAAGAACCTCAATGCTTAACGAAACCGCGGAACATGCGTCTCATGCAGGAGCTCGGAATTGTGCTCAGTGAGAGTGTTCCGTTCGCTCGCCGTTCCGCCCACCATTTCCCGAAACTTTCGCACGCGAAAACACGCCAACAACAAACAGAACATCGAAAAACGCCGTTTCGGGGTGGGTGCGTTTACGCCCCCTCGATAGCTGACCTCAGGCTTCTCTTCCATCTCCTTCTCCCCCCCCTTAACCCTACTTCTCCCCCCCTCCCTCTTCCTCTCACCGCCCTCTTCCCCTCGTCGCTTGACTCCGAGTCTGCTTCTACTGCGCGCCGAGAACGTTCTTGGCTAGTCTTGCGCCGCAACAGCCCGGGCTAGGCCTACAGCGCTCCCCTCTAAGGGTGCGCTGATTGTGCTCTCCCTCTCGTCGTCTGTTGGTGTGTGCTACGCAGTACTGCAGGCGCGGCGAACGCGCACGGGCAAGCGCACACGGCTACGGGACACACAGATGCGCAATAACCCCCACCGTTACACGTTTACCTTTCATGTATAGGATTTTCGTGTGGCGTTGGGGGAGCCCCCACCCAAAAAAACTTTCTCCAACAAAAGAAATCGGGGAGCTAGTAGGTGTAGAAGAATGTTTTTCGTGCGCCCTTGATGCTTAGGGTACTACACATCCTTCGAGATTTCCTCCCGGTCAATCCCTACTCTCAATCCCAAACTACACCACTTCCGGCGCCACTCTAACTATCCCTAACCCCCCCTGAAGATCACTCATACATTGACATACATGCAGATTCCAGAACATTGCTCAAATAATTCCTGCAAAGATGATCTCAAGAAGGATCCAAAGATTTCAATGACTCTTTTCGCAAAGCTGCAGGAACACCTCCAGCCTGCTCGCTACGCCACCACCGCTTTTCTGAGACAAGACCGCGCTAAGCCCAGATAGACTCAGATGGGTTTCCTCACAACAAGTGGGAGAGGACAAAAAAGAAACTGCACTCATAGATGTATAGATTGAGACTAAATAAACGAATCCCAGGCACAAACAAAGGTGTAGTGGCGGGCACCACGACTGAGTTAACGAGGATGGCTACACTAGGGAGTCAAAACACAACTAGCTGGATCCGCAAGAATACGGAAGCTGATAACACGGACGGCTGGGGTAATGTCCTAAAAACGAACATGTGTGCCGGGTTCTTGATTGGGGGACAGATATGAAGGAACTGATTGTGTTATAGTAAGAACGAAAAAACAAACAATAGGATTATGTCTCCAGGTGCGTAGATGACAAGGCACGGGTTCGGAAAAATTCATCCAGAGTGGGGCGCAATAGCCAACCCAAAGGCAACCAACAAAGGGCTCCAAAACGAGCACGGCCGACCAAACAACCGGTGAGGTAAGAAAAGGGAACCAGAAGAACGTTACTTGAGATGGACCACGGGCAGAAGCAAGCCATCAATGACACGGTCCAACACAAAGCACAAAAAAGGTATGGCAATCGCGACCAAAAAGAAAATGGTTACCTTACGCTAGAGCAAAAACGTACGATAGAACTCGTAGCGCCAACAATGAGAGCCAGCAGTTCACAGCAAGTCACAGCAAGCGGCCGGGACGTCCCATGTCTAGCGTGGAAAGGCCACAGCACATTTAAACACACCTAGAGAAGAAAATGCAAACAACCATATACCGACAAACAACATGAAACCACGATCACAAGGGAATTAGTCAACATAAGTTTTTTGGTGATTGAGGAGAGGACCAGATAGGAGGGCGACCATGAGCGTCGGCGAAACTGCGGAAGACGCCTCCGGGGCGAGGTGGGTACCGGTGCATGACACACGGGCAGCATGCCCCCTAAACGATGAAGGTGTAGAAAGGTCTACGGAAACTTACCAATCGCTGCAGACCTCGCAACGGGAGTATGGGGTCGATCAAATTCACTACCAACGGCGGTGGACAGCTGTGAACAAGTCTCCATATTCCCAATAGCTGTGTTTGGTACTTGGGCTAAGCAGAAGAACGTGAGAAAATCTATGTAACAATTGTATCTGACGTTTCTTGCCGAAGAGGGGACGAAAGGGTCAGGAAGTAGCGGTTATCGGAAAAAATGTGTGCGGCATGAAATGTCGCGCGATCACCTCCTTGCCGTTGCTTTATCAACACATCTCACGTCTCAGAATTGCATGCATCGAGGACAACGTTCTGCTTCAAAAGCGAGGACCGAGACATATATGTGTGAACGATCGTTGTTTCCAGTTCGCCGGAAGGAGGGCACAGTGTTCTTGTACGGGCATATAACAATATTCCCGTTTTAGATTTCGACGTTGATGTTACGACTGCACCTTACACAACTTCTTGAACTGATTGAAATATTTAAAAGTCTACGAACAAGAACGGGAACGATTTCAATCTCTTGGCAGCCTGGGTCAACAAATACACTACGGCACCTGCCGAATTTGCAAGATATAGTCTACAGTGCGAGGAGCAATTCAAAGACTCTTTAGAAGAGCATGCTCGCGGACAACTCCGCGCACGCCTTCCACCCATTCCCCTTCTTACCCGGCTCTTTACTTCTTCTTGATATCTAGAACATACGGTGTGCTTTGGAAGTGCTTGCGCTGGTGACTAGTCGAAACGGTAACACGAGTGCTGCTACAACATGCGCGCGACATCGCTGGGGTGCAGCATTCAACCACACACAACCAAACAGTTACTCACACAACCACAACAGTTACACCTTAGTGACCCCATTTCACAAAGTGTGGTAACACCCCTCCCGTTCCACCTTTCCCGACCTCGAGTGTATCAATCATTCCGACACAGTACAGGTAGGACCGCCGTAACCAAAAACGGCGTAGTTGATCAGTACACCACGGGTCGATGGGCTAGTGTGGTGGGCCGATCAGAGAAGATCGTTCTTGGCGTTGAAGAAGAACCCGACGGCGACGGTAGCGGCCACGCCGAAGACTGTGGTGCCGAACGACGAACGCGCGAAAAATCCAGAAGCCCCGCTGGTGACGGGGGCTGGGGTTGGGGCCGTGTCGGTCTCTTCTGTGGAACAACGAACGCACAGAGAGCAACCGGTTTCCGAAGGAAGTTAGTTTGAGATTGACATCCTACGGGGGAAAGCTCATGGATAACGACCTCGCAGAACATGTCAAGAGCGCCGGTATTCCGGGTGCATTGGCGGAGCAGAGTTGTGCTGTAATGTACACTCTACAGTAGGTAATTGCGATTGCAGCACCCTCACGTCGAAAAATAACGTTTTCGGCGTACACTATATGTACCTTCTGTGCAGCACTCGGCGGCGGTGCATGTGGCGGCAGCGCATACCGTGGTGTCCGCGCTTGCAGTGGTGTCGTCCTCGCAGTCGGTGTCGTACAAGGCGCATGTGTCTGCGGTGGAGAGCAATGACAATGTGAACACACGCGTGTAAAGGCTCAACGGCGAACAGGGGCGTGTTTCATTATTGAGTTTCGGAGAAGGAAGGGTTACAGTCGACAGTATGCAGAACACGCCAGGGCCATACTGCGCGATACGACTCTACCAGACAAAAGATGTCACGAGATCTCCTCCGCGAAGCCTTGGGCAGTGCGCGAAACGTCGGGGGTATAGATACACCTGTCTACGCCCAATGTGGCACAAGAGTCATCTACGGCGGAGGCACAACGAGCTTCATGCAAGGCCTTGTGTGAAAAAACACTGACTCCAATAACAGATGAAAACCAAGCACCGCCCTTACATCCACAGCATTCGGCAGCGGTGCACTCGTCGCCGGCGCATTCGGTGGTATCGGCGAACGCAGAGGTGCCGTCCGCGCAGGCCGTGTCGTAAGAGGCACACGTGGCTGGCCAACGGAAACATGCGAACGACGAGCGAGAACGCAAGTACCGGTTCAGGGTAAAACACGGAACGGAAGCAAAATGTTTATAGAGGTTCCGCATGAGCAACGCATGGCTAACTATCATCGTTCACATCGTGATTCGGGAACGGCGCTTCCCGTATGCCATCTACAACGCTTATGTGCCGATAGTGGCATCCGTTTGCGTTTGTGCGGATCATCCGCTTGCGGAAGCATTGACTGGAGCTGTATGCCCAACCTGGCGTCGGCAAAGGCCCTACGCACTACTTACCTATGCAGCATTCGGTGGCGGTGCACTCGTCGGCGGCGCATTCGGTCGTATCGGCGGCCGCAATAAACCCGGTTGCGCAATCAGTGTCGTACAACGCACACGTGACTGGCGGACAAGGACGACGGCGCAACAAAGAACGCGGGCGTGCACAGATTGTTACGGGGCAAGCTCAAGAGGAAGCCATGTAACCGTTCGACGAGGAGATGATCGTCAAAGTGCGCGTGCCCACGTCGTCGATTTTCAGAGCACCACCGAATTGCGCGTTGCTTTCACAAAAATACATCGTCACGAGATTTTCACGTGACATGCGCTGCCCCGTGGACCACGACCTCTTTGCTGCCACCGTTGTCAGGGATGTGGTGTCCGCTCATTCCCGCCAAGTGATTGCATGCGCTCAAGCGCATGTGAAGAGCCTTGTCCTGTGTTGTGCTACGCGTCGAGCGTCAGCACACCACTTGGGCGCAATACATGACGCCTACGTCAGACAGCACGCACTTCACTCACCTCCGCAGCACTCGTCGGCGGTGCAGTCGGCGGCGGCACACGTGGTGGTGTCGATGAACACCGAAGTGCCGTCCGCACAGGCGGTGTCGTACAAGGCGCACGTAACTACGAGACGAACCCGCCCGCCCGGCAGATGAACAACGGCGTAGCAAATAAAGGGAAGGCCATTGGTCAGGGGCGCGTTTTCGGCAACATTCCAGGTGAGGGGTTGACAAGAAATGTAAGCCGTAAAATTCACACCAGACAACTGTACAGAAAACTAGTGAGCTACACAGCGAAGGGGACACACGTCGCTGCACCCCCTCCCTTGAACATATCCTACCACCGACACCCGGACGTTTGTACCCCTACCTCCGCAGCATTCAGCAGCGGTGCACTCGTCCTCGGCGCACTCGGTGGAATCGGCGAAGGCTGAAGTGTCGTCGGCGCAGGCGGTGTCGTAAGAGGCACACGTGGTCGGGACTGCCGGGCAACACAGGCGACAGGCGAACGGCGACGGGAAAAGGACGCGCGTAGATTCAGGTATATGCGGACGCGAACGAAGAGCACGGCGTCAAGGGCCTACAGATGACCTACAATTGGCTTAAGAACACCAGTGTGCACATTGCGCTGTAAGAGAGAGAGATAATGAGATAGATACACGCAGCATAGGGCTTAATTCAACGCCGTAGTAGTCAGGTCACCTACCGGCGGTACACGTAAGCGTGTCGTCATCCCCGTCCACGTCTTCGTAGTCGGTTGCGCAAGCATCGCACACAAACGTGTCGTCGGTCGTGTCGGAGTCCATGTAGCCTGTCGCGCACGTGTCGCAGGTAACCGTGGTCTCGACATCGTCCGAGTCCGCGTAGCCCGTCGCGCAAGCGTCGCAGGTGACTGTGGCCGCGACATCGTCCGTGTCCATGTAGCCCGTCGCGCAAGCATCGCAGCTGAGGGCGTCTGAGTCAGTCGCGTCCGTGTAGCCAGACGGGCACTCTGTTGTACGGCAGGCGGCAGTTGTGAACATTCAGTTGGCGATGACAGCGGTCGAAGGGAAGGGGAAGCGCGACGACAGAAATTGGGATGTTGCTTCTGTAGTATCACGATGTATCGTAGGTGGGACCATGTGTCGTCGTTATTTATGTTGTTCGCCTTTGTGTGGCGTGGAGGATGTCTGAGGAAGACGGAAACTCGTATCCCGATCAAGGGTACGGATAAGGAGATACATCGACAGAGGCGAGGACCACAGAGATCAGGACAGTCTTGTAAAGCCTGATGAAATACAAAATCGAATCAGCCGCAGCAGTAGGAGCACGATATCCCTGCTGGCCATGTACTGACGTCGTCTACAGTACTGTAGTGATTGTGATTATCATGCAGAACGAGCTGTAGGAATCGCCAGGTGCAGCGCTATTTCCCACATGGGAACAAGTGGGTACAACAAGATCGCACACACTCAGAACTCATGGTGGTACACGGTTGACTCACCACAGCACTCGGTGGAAAGGCATGCGTCGGCGGCGCAGTCGATATCCGCGGGAGTGGCGAGCGCAGCAAGATCGTCCCCGCAGCCGGCGGCGAAGTCGTTTTCACAGTCACTTGCGTCAACCCGTAACACAGCCAGTGCAGAAACCATCAGAATCTGGATAAACTTCATGGTTAGGTGATGTACGTTCTGTGCCTAAAAGGAGGAGTTGGGAAAGACGGGCACGACGGAGGAGACAGCAGAAGCAGAGGCAGCACCACAGAAAAATGGGCGAGAAGAAGGGTGGCGTATTACGACGTTGGGTGATCGGACTGCTTTGGGCTTTTTCCAGCAGTTTGTTGGAAGAAAACACCAACAGCAGCAATGTCAGCATCAACAACAAAGCATTTGTGCCGCCAAGCATGATTCTGTTGCGTTTGTGGTACTGAACGGGCAAACGAATAACCGATCTGAGGGTATCATGAAAGAAAGTTGATATGCTGCCCGGTCGCTGCACAGTATACTGTAGTCTGTCAAGTCTGGAGAGCTGCACATTTGATCTGACTTACAATGAATAGAACACGAAAACGAGGTCCGCCACGTCGAAAAACGTGTAACGTATATACTGTACCAGTAGTATCCATTCACGTCATCCCGCTTGCTCGAGCACACAAAGATTCCACGCGCATTCAAGGAGCGCTAACATTGGTCTGAAACTTACACTGTAGTCGCAGATAGGGAATGCACGATCTCTCTCTCTCTCTCTCTCTGGGGTCTAAAACACGTGAGTGTCGATGGTTGACACTCCCTTTCCTACAAGTATGTAGGCTCGAGTACAGCAAAGTGTGTTCTCCGTGTACAGCATTCATGTCTACTACAGTTCACCGGCCCAAACATCGTGAGTTCCACTTCCCGACTTCAGGATGAAGACTACTGTAGTCTGTCGTGCACACGTAGGAAAGTCCATGTTCCTGTCGAAAGGGAAGACAGAATAACGCCAGCACAGCCCGTGCGACGTTTTTCGGTAGCTGGCATACACCCGGGTACCCGTACCCGAAGCGTTGTGGAGCGTTGACTAACGTGGAAGTGGGGACAGATCGTCGTGCGTACGTCTACAACAAAGTGTACGAGAAATGAGCTCCAACCTATCAGCCTCTGCTCTTGCATGCACACACAGACTCGTAGCACGAAGTGAACTACATGTTTGGTTGCACCCTAGAGTTACCACTCGTGTTCCCTACAGGTTGCCTACAGGCTACTACAACTATCATAGTCTACTGCCGCCCAACTGCGTCTGTTGGAATACATGCCGTACGCGCGTTCCCCTCGAGGCACAGAAAATGTGACAGAGAGAAAAACGACTCAAACTCGACGCCCATCAGACACTTCATTCTTGTCAGTACCGAGCACCTACTCTGGGTGTAATCTACAGTTGTATAAATGCGAAAACACTGTACCTGACGGTGAAGGGAAGAAAGGAGAGGGGCGAGAGTTTGTGCGACCTGCGAGCACGCAAGAGCACGCGTTGAACTTCGGAGAAATCATCCATCAAACAGTTCGTTACGCAAATGCGGTGCAATAACCTGCATCGCCCAATCACCCGATCGGACTTGCCGTCCTGGTCGTCCACGCGCGCTTTTCTTTGGATCAGCTTGGTCGGCTTGTCGGTAGATAAACGGTTTCACAGCAAGCTCAACAATGATTGGTCGAAAGGTTCCACCGCATGCTGTGCGCTGGCTAGCACCTTCTCGCCACTAGCTTCTTCGGGGTGGCTACCTGTGAATCTTTTTTCCTCACCGGGCACTTACATACCAGACTCAATCTCAAACTGCAGCAGCACTATAAGTTCAAGCAGGTGAGGGGCCATTCATCATTGCCCAGTTGCCCACGGGTTCTTCCAGAGTCCGAGGTGGGACTGTCGTATCCTCATGTGGTGACGTCAGAGTACCTGAAATTTGCATATATGCAGCAGTTTGTATTCAACCTTTGTTTTGTTCCATCAAAACCATATTGTTGGCCGCATACGCATGCATGTGCCCAATCCATCTTTTGCCCTCTGTAGACCATTCTCACGCCATTGATATGTATTTGGCAAACGACGCGGAAGGTGTCGTTGGTGGTTGTGAACAAGATTCTATCGCAGTACATGTAGTCTATCTGCTATACTACTGCGGATGTGGCTTGGAATTCATCATGCACGGCGATCTCCTCTGCCCTAAATCCTTAAAATCCAACCCATCAACTCGGTCTCCGGGTCGTATCGGTTTGCTCTCTCTCTGTTCATGTTTGAATTTCTTTGCCACGGTTTGGATTGCTATTATTGCTCAGTCATCGTTTGTCACTGCGCCCGAAAGAGTCTCCACGCGAGCAAGAGCACGTGCGCAGACCTCCCCAGAAAGAACCGGAATGCAAAAGGGTGATTGTGTTAGCTTGGGCTTAATGTTTGCAGATGCAACACTAATAACACACCATTTTGTCACCAACCGTGGTGGCTGCTGCTATGTATTGGAGTTGAGCAGGTCACGCATGTTTACAGCCTTTTGGCCATTACACAGACAGTTGTTTACGGCCTTTGAGTCTGTGTTCGTAGTACCCGGAGAGAGGTCGAGAAGGGCACGTCGCCAGTTATTGCCCGGGAATTATCTTCGTCCATTTGTAGGTCTTCTTGATAGGACTGGGAGTGGACTCAAACATCGACAGCGTTGTAGTATGCGTATAACGGATGACGCGTGAATACACCATATATCAGGCGTCGTGCAAAGATTATTTAGAGGCTTCTCCGCAGGGTAGGTATAGCACGCACTGTATCTCTTGCGAGTATTGACACCCGCAGTGGCAACTACACGGTTTCAATATATATATATATTAACGAATACTTGTAGGAGAGGAACGACAATTATATCAAACCTGTTGGCCAGCGCCCCCGTACGTTGGCGAGGTCACTTCATAGCCCTCTCTAATGGTTTCAGGCTAGTCTAGCGACCTACAGTACCGCAGTCCTGCTACGTGTTCTTCGTCATGAATGTCCTAAGGGGATACATACGCGATGACAATATTCAACTCGTGACCACGATTTTCCAACGACAATGCAAAAGTCCTTAGACAAAAACGAACACCTCAGCTCGTTTCGTCTACGACCCACGCTGAGCGACCAGATAAATAATAAGTCGCCACAGCACCAATAAAAATCCTATCAAATATACGGTCAGCAATTCATGGTACAAAATAGGTTTTCATGAGAGTTTGTTCTGCTCGGGATATGTTCAAATTGGAACCAATTTTCTTTCCATGGGTTTTCGTCGTCAGTCGTTTCTAAATTTCCCGGTATCCAAAATTCCAAGGCAGCAAATCGAGAGGTTTTACATGTGGTCTGCGGACTTGAACATTGGAAACAAAATTTGGAACGTTTAGAACGCCCTACAAGAGGAGTGCTACGCGATACGTCCTGTATACTGCGTACCGCAGCTCCCCATGGTGGTCCAAAGCAGCTTTTTAGCACCAACCGAAATCAAACCATATACCAGTCAGCGCTAATGGTCTAGACTAGTAAGTCATGGGGTCCAAATGACCCCTTACGTTTGCTTCCGAGGATGTTCGCTCCCCTCGCCAGCACTACCGTCCATGTTGTTTTGGGTGCATTTCTTCTCAACTCACTACCCACATCAATTCAGAATGTTCTAGATATCCAAGAGTATCCAGGGTCTCGGAAAGAAAATCCGCTCATGTTTTCAGCCTGGGATTCAGCGCTGAGTGGTCTAATGGGTAACTTTTTGTTGCGAAAAGCACCACCAGCAGAGTAGTGTAGACACGTGAGGCGCTATCCCTATGCTTGACTCCTGCGGCGACTGAATTTTCTTACAGCGATCACCGTCTGACACTGTCCTCTCGGGTACCCTCTACATACTCTTTCTCCACAAAATGATTTTGACGACTACGAACGAACACGCCCAACGCCCGTTGTCTCCACATAAGCTATCTGGAACGATGTCCGTCAGCACGATGAGCACCATCGCCACGACGAAAACGCTCTTCGCCGTGTACTTCGTTGGCACCGCCGTCGCCAATGTGCAGCACACCATCGCCTCCCGCGCTGCAGCAACGGACGGCACCAACTCCCTCGACGGCTTCGATCCGTTTCACCGCTTACTGGACCCGAACCGCACCCTTTTCGGCAGGACCCTGCAGGTAAACATGTTATGCCGTTCAGAAGGTGTATTTCTACCGCAATATGTAAGGGAAAAACAAGTAGAAAAAACAAATGTTGTTGCGGTCGATTCTAGTTCCGACGCGGGCGCCGAGCAGCCAGCAGCCCTACGGTCGGTTTGTGCCACGTTTGGCGCTCGATCGACGGTTCCCTTACTGCGCGCCAGTGCTCCAATTGTCGATTGGAAACGAAGTTTGTGCATCAGGTGTGCGTATTCCTTGCCTTGAGTGCCTAGCGCCTATCATGTGGCTGACTGCTCCGCTAATCAACCGAAAATTCTGGGCAGAATGCAAAGAAAGGAACGAGAGAGAAGTGTCGAACCTACTGGCAAAGCAACCCTAACAACCGAAACCTCAACGTCGAAGGCGTATCGCGCACCAGTGCCGCGGTGGTACAACTGCTCTCTACCTGGATCACAACATTTTCGACGACCAATCGAAGTGCCTTTCATCAATCAAGTCTGTTTTTCACGAATATTTGAAGGATGTCGTCGACAGGTCGAGCACGTACTGCGCAATTGTTCTCCACGTCAGGAACAAGCCACTACAGATCAATCAGACTTTTCCATCGATCAATCAATACTGGTTTGGTTGCCGTTGGCAGCAACGAAACGAAGCAACACTGCCACACCCGCCCCGAAGAACCACACCAATTCCTCTTGCGACCACATCAACGGCGAGAGCAAAAACACCAGCAATGATACGATACAAGACACAGCTACGTGCCGTTTCAGGTTGCTACGATATTTAATCGCGACCATTTCTTCTGCTGCTACAGCTCCTACTACAGTGCAGATGGTCACTGGATTATTGATGTGATTCTTGACTAATGATCGATGGGCCCCATCAACCTACACTTTCGAAGTTCGAGACACCAACGACCAACGAAGGAAAGGAAGGTTGACCAGGCCTCAATCCGCCCCCGTCCCACCAAATAAGACCAAAAAGCACCCCATTGGACTCTCTTTTTCTCGAACAGGCAGCGGATGATGATGAAGATGACGACGTGGAACAACTGTGTTTTGCGGAATACAGCGCTTGCGAGGAAGACGCCGCGTGCACGGCCTGCGTTGATTCAGTCACCATGGACGGAACGTGCTATTCCGAGGACATCAACGACTGCGCCGCGATAGCCGACTACTTGTGCTGCATTGTTGGGCCTGACTGCAGCGACAACGAGTTGCTCGCCGATTACTTGAGTGAGTTAGACGTATCTTCCTGGCGTAGCTGTCACTGTTTGAACAGTCTAACTTCCTGGCCGTAGCTGTCACTGTTTGAACAATGGATGACGTTGGCATGGCATTTCGTACCATCTCTTGGCTGTACTTTGGGGATGTTCTTGAACAGCACGCAGCTGACATCGCTCCCCCTGGCCTCCGTAGCCAGCAACGACACGCAGGAACGTCAGCGTCACCACCAGTAACAAGAACGTCAGCAACAAAGTCCAGCAGCAACAGAAGTTCGTCGAGCACACCGTCATCAACCAAGCATCACCAGCAGCAAGAACAACGATGTCAGCATCACTAACCTGGTTCCGTTTCCCTTTGTTTGTCTACCTCTTTCGCCTTCCAACCAATTTGCAGGCTGCCAGGTCGGGATATGCACGTTCGCCGACTTCTGTGATCACTCGAAGACATTCGACAGCGACGACAACAACGGGGGCGGTAGCAACGGAGACGACATCGAGGTATCTCCAAAAAGGATAGCGCGTAGGCGGCCCATGCATCAAAACACGCGGAAGAAAACCATCTGCGAGACGACGGAACATGAACAAGCTGCTGCTCCTAAATCCACTTCTGCTGACAACCCTGCTGCTCCTGCTGCTCCTGCTGCTGCAGCTGCGGCGTCTTCAATTGGAAGAATTTTCTTCTACCATAGCACATCCTGATTCACTGGGAAACCATGCACCATATCGCTCCGCAATCCATCAGAAAAACTCGGCGACTACGTAGATCAACCACACGACTACCACCCCAGTCCCTGTCAAACCCCACCGACGACAATCACCCGCCGTTGATTTCCGTCGACAAACAAAACACAGGACGATTATGAAGACGATGATGCAGAATTGTGCCCTACCGAGATGAGCACCTGCATCGAAGACTCGGCCTGTATGGCCTGCCTCAATGGGGTTGCCGTCGACGAGACGTGCGATACGGGCAACATGACGGACTGCGCCGACATGGCCGACTACTTGTGCTGCATCGTCGGGGATGCCTGCAGCGACAACGAGTATCTTGTGGACTACGTCAGTGAGTGCGGCTCGCGCTCGTCCCGGTCATGTTAGACAGGCTGAAACCTTGTAAAACAGTCTGAAATCGATGCCTTTGGTACCGTTTGGTCATCACCATTCGGTGACTAAGGAAAGAGTGTTTGAACAGCGTGCAGCATTGACCATCTGGTCTCACAGAGTCAGCAACAGCAGAACCGAAACCAATGTCAACGATAGAACAGACGATTATGTTGACAGCAACAGATAACAACCCTCGACATGCATACGTGATGTTCCTCCCACCACTGTTGTTGCTGAATCATCCCTTTCAACGTGAAAATCAGACTGCGCGGCGGAGATAGAATCTTGCACTTTGACGGACTTCTGCGACCACACGACGTCAACCGATAGCGACGATGACGTCGACGGTGGTGGTGGCGGCGATGACGACGCTACGGTACGTTTATCCATCATCCGAACATATCCTTGTGAATGCGGTTGTAGGATTTTACAGAAAAAAAAATTGCTTACGTGCAACACGGTGCTGCTGCCAAGTGTTACGGGAACGTCCTTTGAGAAACACCCCGTGAGAGCACCGCCGATACAAAAAAAACTTCGAGAATGCCAAGAGTACAATCTGGTATTTAGTTGCACGAATGGGGCATCCACTAGGCACGTGGGCACATGAACACCTCACTACGTCCAGGGCGCTGGATTCAAGAACACCGAAGAAGAAAAGCACATCCTTTAGCAATACTCTTTGACTAAGACATACGTAGCACGCACTTACACAAAACAACTCATTCATCAAGAATACAAAACTTAAGTATTAGAACTCACCAGACCAACGTGGTACTTCAAACGCCCACGCTCACACACATCTTGTCTTGCTGCCACCATCCCCCACAGGAAATGGTCACTTCCTGCGCGGACGAAATCGCAACCTGCGCTCAGGACGCCGACTGCCTGTCCTGCATGATGGCGCCATCGGTTAACGACGGGTCCGAATCGTGCGAGAACATGGTCACGGCCGATACCCCATGCTCCGGCGTGGAAAACATGCTCTGCTGCCTTTACGGGGACACCGAGACCTGTCGAGACAACGCTCCGTTCCTCGAATTCGCCAGTGAGTCTGCAGGAGGTAGTGGTCATCTCCATCGTCTGCAGTCTTGGTATGATTGCGCGATTTTCCAGTCGCTATCATGCCAATGCAACACGAACCTACTACGGCAAACAGGAGGGCTGTATTCCGCTCTCCTCCCCTGGTATAACCGTCTAGCCTCCACTTATAATGCAACCCCCACGATGTTATGGAGCCTTCGAATCATCGTCAGATGTGCCCATCCACCTCGCAATTGACTTCAAACACTTTGATCTGACCCCATGAGAATGTGTACGCGTATCCGGCTTGCGACAAGAGTGTTTCTCGCGTTAAATTGAATCAAACCTTGCATCGTCCAGCGTTCAATATACCACCTCTCCCTCTTTCGATGATACACCTGAAGCCTACGGCATCCTTCCAGATATCCGTTCTCTTTTGAACGATGATATCCCTCACCTACCCTTGAGACCTGTTGGCCGCTTTCGCTCCACCAACAAGCAAGAATGGAGAGCCCTCATCCCGAACGTTACCATTGCCCAATCAACGTGCGTCACACAGGCTGCGCCGCGCACACCGTCCTTCCCGAAGACCAGTGCACACTGACCGAGCTCTGTAGCAGCAGCAGCAGCAGCAGCAGCAGCAGCAGCAGAACGATAAGCGAGTCGCGGGACTCTGACTCCAACGATGACTTTGAACCGTATGATCCGTGCCCCATCGAAGTTGCTGCTTGCCAGGTGGGTTTGGAATTCATCTTTTTTTTGCCCGCTGTCACTGTCCTATCATCCTTGTTAGAGACGCCGTTGCTGTGTGCTTCTCCGAAGGGTGCATCACTGCACTGTCCAAATCTCTGTTCGTTTTGTCTGTTTCTTTTTTCATATTTGCTCAACTACCCGACCGATGGCACGCCGAAGGTAACTATACTGTGTGTACCAGCTTACAGTAGACGATGGTGGAATAACAACGTGCTTTGAACAAATGCAACTTTGGAGGTTTGTGCATAGAACTTCGAGAAGATCTACGTATTTTGAGAGAAAAAATTGTTGTCCGCTAAAGGCATACCCAAGCATGAACAGTGCCAGACCCTGGGTGTTGGTGTCCTCGCGATGAATGTTCAGAGATCCCGCTCGGAACCAACCCCCCCATCGAGGTATCGGAGGTTGGACAACCATGAGGAGGGTCAGGAATTTCAAACATGTACTATTTCTCGAGACCCCTGCATCGAAGTATCGGCATTGATACAAGGAATAACCAAAATTGACCAGAGACACGTTGGGCACGGGGTGGGGGGGGGCATGGTGCTCATTGGTCGGTGGTTGTTCGCATCTGCTGTGTGCCGCCTCCTGATGAGCTGACGTAACCCATGGGTTTTTCTATCGTTTGTGTATCCACCATCAGGATGATGAGTCTTGCAGAGGTTGTCTGGATATTGCTTCTACCATGGACGAGAGCTGCGATAGCACCATCACCGACTGCTCCACCTTGACGGGTTATACTTGCTGCTTGATCGGGGGAATGGGCAGCTGCAGAAACAACCACTTACTCTTGGACTACATCAGTGAGTAAGCTGATTGTGTTACACGGGGTGTGACACAGTGTTGATTCAATTGTAAATTTCGCGCACGTATTGGGTCTGCATTGATGGGTCGGTGATTGCAGCTGCGTGTCCGCCTTGGGACAGATGATTAAAGCCCTCAATATTTTCACGCGGAAACCGTTGTTGCTACGCCACCCTCCTGCCATAGGGAACATACACCTTTGGAGCGTGCATCTCCGGGGAGTGGATCTCCGAGGAGTGGTGTGTGTCTCTTGAAATATGCCACGCTTGATCCTGCCTGTTGGTGTGGTTGTTTCGGGCTCAGCGAGACAAGAATCATTAGCTGCAGCAACAGCTAAATTACTGTTACGTTGGTCGCTTTCCTTGGAAACCTGATGCAATGTAACACCGACATTCTGGACCTACGTAACGCCGGTGATCGATTCAGACTGCGTACTCGATGACAATGGCTGCAACGTGTACAATGACCTCTGCGACTACACATCTGAGGTGGCCGACGATGACGTCAGCGATGACTACACACCTGAGTTGGTCGACGATGACGTCAGCGATGAAATCGACGACGACGACGACGACGACGACGACGACGACGACGCAGTGCAATGCATTGCCGAGGTCCAAGCCTGCGTCGCCGACCCGCACTGCTTGAGCTGTGTTCAAAGTGAAGCCGTCTGCGATTCGTCCGCGACAGCTACCTGCTCTGGGGTGATGGACTACTTATGCTGCGTCTTCGGAGATTCATGCAGTGAAAACGCCTTGGTCGTGGCCTACATCGGTAAGCCATGGTCTCCGAGGAGTGCATCTCCGAGGAGTGGTGTGCACGTCTCTTGAAATAGGCTAGGCTTGATCCAGCAGGATGGTTCGGTAGTTTCGGGCTCAGCGAGACACGAATCATAAGCAGCACCAACAGCTTTAAGGTCACATTGATCGCTTTTCGGTGAAACCCTATGCAACACAAACCGACAATCTCGACCTACGTAACGCCGGTGATCGAATCAGACTGCGCGCTCGATGACTATGGCTGTAGCGTGGACAACGACCTCTGCGACACGGGGGACGACAACGGAACGATGCTTACATCGGAAATCGATGGTACGGCATATGGTATATAGGATTGGAAAAGCAAAGCATTCTCTCCCCTCTCATATAGCGGATGAACATGCTTGGGCGGAGCTTGCTTGCTTCACCATACTTTGGCCTCCCCACGTGACGTCTAGGGTACCACAAGTCTCCACGACCGTGTAGCATGAGCGCCTTCTCAGATGTGCCTTCACATCTCGAGGAAGGCACCCTGTGGACCTTCTTTCTTCGTGATCTACCGACGCAATACGCGGGAGACTGTTGGATCGTTTTCTCGACCATATACATGCATTGAATCTGCTGGCGTGATGTCGGTGACGTCGGTGCCCCATATCAATAACCGACATGAACAGATGACGACGGGGAGGACGAGGAACCGTGTCCTGCCGAGCTTACTGCATGTCTAGCGGACGAGACATGCGGCGCATGCTACGGAGGTGCTACGTTGGACGGGAGCTGCGATGGCCCGGCCACCGACTGCGTTGACCTGGCGAACTACTACTGCTGTGTCGCCGGGGATGACTGCAGCGACAACCCTCTGGCCATTGGATACATCAGTGAGAGGGTCACCGCAATCGTTGATTGAAATGTTTGGAGTGGTACTACTACCCAAACACCCGTGCAAGAGAGGGGAGCAGTCGGATGCATGGCTAAGGGTGACGATCTGGCTAGGGTTAAAACCCCGGCCGTTTCCGTTTGATAGACGAAAGTGTTTCTGGAAACAGAATGGTGATGAACGTGAGTGTATCGTTGAACCACGTGAGTCCCAACACCATCGTCGTCGATTGTGTGGGAGGTGTAAATACAATGGTTTCATCTGGCGCTTCACCGCGCGCTTTCTTCTGCGATTCCTCCCTTCCTCGCCCCACCAAAACCAGACTGCTTGATCGAGAACCAGCTGGACGACGAGCCGTGCATATTGACCGATGCCTGTGCCTACACAACTGATGATGACGCGGTGCGGGAAACCCTACAGAATTGTCGTGATCTCGCGTGCCCGACCAGAGTATGCACACAACTCTGTCCAACGCAGACATACTGTGCGGAATGCGACAAACTCCCAGCGTTCCAATTGCGCTGAAATCACATACCGAGTCGCGGCAACACACCGAGTGTCCCCCCCGACGTGAAGGCCTGTGAAAGCCCAAACGTAGCGGGGGCGTGGGTCGAAGAAGTTGTGCACCCGGACCACGAGTCAAACGAATTTTCACTCTCCCACCTGCTTGACAGAATCGCCCCCCTGACATGGCTGCAAACGATGCCATTGGTCTATTGACCCCAAACCCTAGGCTGAGCGAGGTGGCGGCGACGTCGACGACGAAGGAATGGTCACCGAAGGCCCCGAAGCTGCCGATGATGACGGCGACGACATCGATCGTGGTGTCGGGGAACTGTTTTCCTGGTCGCCGACGTCTAGTCCCACCTCTTCCCCCACGGGATCTCACGGCGGCCGCGGCGGCGGCGGCCGCGGTGGTGGAGGTCGGGGGCGCGGTGGCGATGACGGCGGTGGTGCCATGTGTCTCACCCAGCAGGCCATCTGTATGGCGGACTTAGACTGCGCTGCGTGCATGGCTGGGGCCACGAGAGACGGGAGCTGCGACGCCACCCTCCCTGACTGCGCCGGCGTGGCTGACTACTATTGCTGCCTCGCTGGGGACGTGCGAGGCTGCAGCGACAATGTGTTGCTCTTGGACCTGATCAGTGAGTGCTATTGTATGATTGGTGTTGAGTTTCAGCAAGCATGCCATGAACATTTGTTTTTGTTTTCAATTCAAATCAGCGCTCACAGCACTAGTGTCGTTTACTCCAACCTGTGGTCACACAGAAGGGCCCCTCTCTACCCTCCTTTCCTGCTGTGCGTTGCCTTCGATTTTATGCTGTACTTTGCCTTCGAGTTTATAGCGAGAAGCGTTCAGCACTCTTTTCCCTCTTTGTACACACCAACTAGCGCTTTCCACTAGGCCAGGGGCGGAAGCGAGAGAAAAGCTCACTTTGCAAGCAACTCTCGCTTACGCCGGGATTCGAACCCCTGCCCTGACCTCTAGAAGGTTTCGAGGATACCAATTAGACCACCGGGGCGACCGACATTGGACGGGGTAAATTACAACAACCACGAGAACCGAAGCCCATGACAACCGCAACCATAACAACACGTGTTCTGGCTAATTGCAACAACCCTGAACTAGACTGCGAGATTGAGCTGGATTCGTGCACGCTGACCGACCTCTGCGGCGATGTACACGGAGGCGGCGAGGAGGATGCGGACGACGATGACGCGGTAAGGAGCGACTTGCTATCCAAATCCTGAATTTTCCCCTACATATCTGCCAGCAGATGCGTAGTATTGAAAACCCAGCGGGTTAGAACCGAGATCAGTCAGCAGCTAGATTCGCGTAGGAGGGAAATCCCGATCGATATCACGCCCTACTCGACGGATGCGCATTCCTCTACCAACGTGACACACATGCCGGCTACCGAGAACACACGCAACCACCCACTTGATACGACCCCGCAGACAACCTTTGCTCCCATCCTGCTCTTGGCTTCGGTCGAGATAGTTGACACCCATCATGTGCGGTGCCACCAACGGTTTCTGCCCCATCAAACCCAAACCAGTCTTCTCGCAGGGGCGGCGACGACGACGACGGTGGCAAGAACGGCAACGGCACAGACAACCACGAGCACTCAACGGAAACTCCCTGGCTCAAACCGGGGGAGCCAGGGGCGGGCGCGGACGACGACGCCCAGAACATCGACCGTGGTTTCGGCGAGTTCTTCACCTGGTCGCCCACGTCTAGCCCCACTTCTTCGCCTACGGGATCTCACGAAGAGCAACACCGCGGCCGCGGCCGTGTCGGTGGCGGTGGCCGTGATGACGACAGTGGCCGTGGTGACGGCGGAAACGTCTGCCTCGAGCAGCAGGCCATATGCTTGGCGGATTCAGACTGCGCCGCATGCATGGCCGGGGCCACGAGAGACGGGAGCTGCGACACCACCGTCCCTGACTGCGCCGGCGTGGCCGACTACTATTGCTGCGAGCTTGGGGGCACAGAAGGCTGCAGCGACAACGCGTTGCTCTTGGACTTCATCAGTGAGTTATAACCGCTGTTGTTGTTGTTGTTGTTGTTGTTGTTGTTTGCTGAGTAAGTTGGCTATATTGCATCCTGTTGGGACTCCAGCGTCATGGGATCGATGCGGAGTGTCTTCATCCTCGTGTTGACTTTGTTTTTCACCATAGCCATCATTGGCCCTACCGCATCGGCCCATTTTCAACATCGTCTCTCACCGTCCATCGACTTTTGAAAACAACAGACTGCGGGGTGGCGTTGGAGTCGTGCACCTTGACCGACCTGTGCGGTGACTAAGCCGATACGGTGGCGCCCGCTGACGGAGGCGTCATAGCGGCCGTCTCCACCGCGAGCATTACCTCCACGTTCGGTGCTGCTGCCGTCAACTGCATTCTGATGAAAGCTCTGAACGCGCTGTTCTGAATCACCTTTCAACGCGTTTGAAGATCACTGTTCTACATCGATTCGTCTCGCTTGCCCGCCGACGCACGTCCTATGTACGTGGTGTGTAAGTCTATCTGTTCTCCATGGCGCGGCTCTTGTTTGGCTACAATCGATGAGCGCGGGTGTCCACTGATGGAAGCATCTCTTCTATCTAGGTAGCTGGTGTTCAACTCTTCTTCCAATTTGTTGTAGGGTTCTGTATGCCTTAAAGCGGCCGTCGCTTTGGCGTACTTCTGTATGCTTAGGTAATCTCAGAGAACAGTGTATGATATGTCAAAATAAGATGTTGCGTGAACTCAAGGGGGTCAACAGAGATAGAATATGCCCCCTGGTGCTGTTGAATATTGGCTGCATTTGCAGTTGATGGTGCTACTTCTCTTGATGCTACTCTTTCACGGGTGGGTAGCTCTTGGTATTTTATGAGTATTGTTAAATTATCATTGTTATTGGTCGTAGAATTGGTTTTGTTGTTGCTGCTGTCGTTGTTGATGTTGTCGTTTCGTGTTCCTACAGACTTGAACCTTGCAACCCAACCACAGCGGTGGCTTCGGACTCTATCGCCATCTGCGCCCGTCCTTGATGTTTCATGCTCAGTTTGTCTACAAATGACCCCATTTGTTTCCGTTTGTTTCATTCAGTGCGCTTGCTACAACCTTTGCAGGCAGTCAGCGAGGATCTCCACTACGTCGGAACTATAAGTATCGACTGGTAGATGTTACTCCATTTTTCTCTCCGTTGTCGAGAGCGTGTTCGTCTTGAAGACTTCACACCGGCTCACGCTGTTTAACACCGTTGCGCTGTGGTCGTTTCATTTGTTTGGAAATCAGTCCAGCGGGTAGAGAAAGAGGGGGGGTGGGGGGGTCTCATATCCTACATGTAGTAGTCAACCAAGGTATGTTTTTGTTCATGACTGACTCTGAACAGAGTCGACCGGAAAAATGACGCGGAGCAGTCCGTGCCTACATAGCAGCCCTGCCACAGTGCGGATAATGTTTTCCTATCATTGTACACGTTTGCATGCAAGATGTAACTTTGCTGTATGCAGTAAATACACTAGAGGTCTGCGATGATGATGATACGGTTCGGTAGAAATGATCACTTATTGCTTTGTACTATCGGGGACATGCTTCTTCGCAACTGTATCTTCGCATCGCACGAGGCAAGTGCTTCAATGTACGGCGATTCGTTGACCTCTCCACATTTCACACCAATCACACGTTGGGTACATTAATTGTCGGTCTTTCTTGTCCCGGCTGACATCTCGGATACTTGTGCGAGATAGGCTGTTAGGAAGGCACTAACCCATTAGACTACTAAATCAGCCGTTAGGAAGGCTTACCCATTAGACTACTCAGTCAGGCGAGCGCCTGACTGAGTAGTCTAATGGGTAAGCCTTCGTAACAAAAGATATACTCTCGGCTCGTTGCCATCCAGCTGGTCACTGAGATTTTAAGAAGTAGAGATCTCCGGGGACGGGCCCCCCGCCAGGCGCTGCCGGAAAAAGAACTAATGGTGCTTGTGAAAGTGACCAGCTGCGATTCGAACCCGTTCGTGTATCCTTTGTTAGAAAGGCTTACCCGTTAGACCACTCAGTCAGCGCTGAGGCTTACCCATTAGACTACTCAGTGAGAAGCCTAATGTTCAGCGCTGACTGAGTAGTCTAATGGGTAAGCCTTCCTAACATAGGCCACCTCCATACCATGCCGGTCGCCCCGGTGGTCTAGTTGGTATCCTCGAAACCTTCTAGAGGTCAGGTCAGGGGTTCGAATCCCGGCGTAAGCGAGCTTTTCTTGCAAAGTGAGTTTTTCTCTCGCCTCCCCTCCTGGCCTAGTGGATAGTGCTAGTTCGTGTGTACACAGAGGGAAGAGAGTGAGTGCTGAACTCTTCTCGCATTAAAAATCGAAGGCAAAGTACCGCAGAAGGGGAGGGTAGAGAGGGGCTCTTCTGTGTGACCACGGGTTGGAGTAAACGGCACTAGTGCTGTGAGCGCTGATTTGAAGTGTAGACAAAAAAAAATAAAAAAATACCATTGTACATTACGACAGTCTCGGCACTAGACCATTGACTGCTGTACAGATCGCTAGTGTGCAGGGTTGCAATCAATGTGGTAAAATGCGATTCGACCTTTTTTCCTGTTCATTGTCTTCACTTCAAATCAGTGCTCACAGCATTTGTGCAGTATTCTCCCACCCGTGGTCACACCGAAGGGCTCCTCTCCCTGAGGCCCCTCCCGCGGTGCTTTGCCTTCAAAATTCGACCGGACTGCTTCGAAATTAGAATTTTGGGAAAAGTCATGCAGCCACTTGTCTAGTCTCTCATCTCGTCTTGGAATTTGAAGTAGTGCGAAGAGGTCGCTTCCCCTTTCGCTCCAAAAAAAATACATAGTGACCACAGGTTTGATGAAGAAATTATTTAGAGCATGCTTAGGGCACTGTTGTTGAGGCCGCCTCCTGCCGGGGCACCCGCTGGAGCCCCCTCGTGAGGTCCCGCACCGCCCGTGAGCCAACCCAAGACGAATCCCTATCAACGGCGAGAAGAATCGGCGAATGCAAGGTGGCAAGACGTGCCGCGGGCAAAGCTGCATGAGATCAATCAACAAGCACATTCCACCTCGATTACCCACAGTATGTAATTTGTCTCGGGAGTACCCCGACATCACGACAGCAACTAATCTTTGACTTGTTCGGCCCCAAGCGCCCAACGGGGCAATTGCGAAACGCGGTGGAACTTTACGAACCAATGAAACAAATGAACCAATCAGACCGTGGTGCGGTACGATTCCGAGGACTGAAACGGCTGTGATTCTACCGCGTGAAGCGTCAAAGTTAGCGACCAAGTCACCGGCGACAGAGAGAGAGAGAGAGAGAGAGAGAGAGAGAGAGAGAGAGAGAGAGAGAGAGAGAGAGAGAGAGAGAGAGAGAGAGAGAGAGAGAGAGAGAGAGAGAGAGAGAGAGAGAGAGAGAGAGAGGAAGAGAGAGAGAGAGAGAGAGAGAGCTTTCTCTCCTCTACATGTGCGTTCTTTCATGAGACAAAATCAATCAATCCTCAGTCTTCTATCACAGAGGACAGACAGACGTAAAACCACTGAATGAAGTACATATACCACGTCATCCACATGAGCGCACCTACTTCTACTTCGGGTTGTTCGCCGTATCGTCGGCGTCAGCGAGAAAGCGCGGCGTGATTTCGTTCCCCAACATACCTGGCAAATACTTTTACGAGAAAGACCAAGGGATAACGAGCTCGTGAGGGGTCCTACTTCCTGCTGCTCTGGATGACAGTCACGACGAGGAGGGTATCTCAGGCCTCATTGAACTTTTGGAGACAACAGTTACTGGTGAGTTGAAGGAGTTTGGATGGCATGACTCGCATACACGACAACACCAGTACAGCAGTAGTACAAACACATGCAGTGCAGTAAATGTCCTACAAGCTGCTGTTGTACGCTCTATAATTCACCAGCCCAAGAGTTTTTTTTTTTGTCTACACTTCAAATCAGCGCTCACAGCACTAGTGCCGTTTACTCCAACCCGTGGTCACACAGAAGAGCCCCTCTCTACCCTCCCCTTCTGCGGTACTTTGCCTTCGATTTTTAATGCGAGAAGAGCTCAGCATTCTCTTCCCTCTGTGTACACGCGAATTAGCGCTATCCACTGGGCCAGAAGCGGAAGCGAGAGAAAAACTCACTTTGCAAGAAAAGCTCGCTTAACTCGCTTACGCCGGGATTCGAAACCCTGACCTGACCTCTAGAAGGTTTCGAGGATACCAACTAGACCACCGGGGCGACCGGTTAAGCGTCAGTGTATTACTAAACCCTGGCACAGAACAAATCTCCCTTTCTGTGCCCTCCTTCGAGATTTCTGGTGGTCTGACGAGTCTGCCTCTGGAGTACTGTACTTCGAAGCAGAAAAAAATAGAAAAATACCACATAGTCTATTGTCGTCGAGGATATTCCGCCGGTGATCACTATCGAGTGGGCGAAGACTTCTCGCTTCATCGGCACAGGAGGGGACGGCACGGCAGGGTACTATGGCCCGTTACGGGGCGGGGACCAACCCCTTTGGCCGTCAAAGCGATCCCTAGGGTCCATGACGGAAGGCAGAAGCGCGGGTACCGACGGGGGCGGCAGACACAACGCACACAACGAGAGCGGCCGAAGGCCGGTCCAGACAATGTCGGGCGACTATCGACGAGCAGAGACGAAATCACCGGACGTAGTGAGGCGTGAGAGCAAGCGGCGTTGTAGTTGCTCTTGTGGTGGAGTTGATGCCGTGTCATGCAGTTGATGTCGTGTCATGCGACGTTTTCCTGATTCCGTACCGTACAGTCTTGGTAGACGCAGTGAGAGTGCGGAAGATTAGCGCTGCCCCCATGCGGATAAGGATGTGATCACGAAGCTGGGGTGACGCCTCGGGAGTTCGCGTTGCACTCCTTTGGCGAATTAAAGAAGCGATGGTTTCAGCACTAGGCGGAGATATCGCAGAGAAGAAACGGAAGTCGGACGCATAAAAGCCGTGCTCAGAATAACGTCGAGGGCTTGTGACGGAAGTCGGGGGACTCACGGACGGCAGCATAATAGCAACGAGTCAGCAACGGGAACGGGCCAAATGCGGGAACAAACAGTCGACTCCTATTGTAGTCGTCCAGAAAATGACCTCGGGTGTGATAAAATGGTATTTACCATTCGGAGGCTTGGTCAGTTTCGGGACTCCCACGTTCGCACTCGCAGTCCCCCGGCTGGTACTATTGTGGGGAGAGAGAGCGGTTTGTAAGGCTTAACGTCGCGCCTCGCGGTCAATGTGGCTGGCGAGACAATGCGCGTTCCATGTGCTTCTCTCCCCAACGTGTGGCCTAGAAACTGAAGAAACAAAATGAAGCAATTCGAAAGAAAACAAATACACAGTCAATGTTGCGCGGGGCTGCGTCGGTGGAGACGATACGATTTGTTGGAGTCGTGTGATTGTCAACATGTTAGTTCGCAGTGCCACGTCGTTAGACATGCATTAGAGATCATGCACACAACGGGATCCACAACCAACTCGCCAAGGAAGCGTTCTTGTTTCGTATGCTGACCAAACCCCGCGTGACAATCAGCACCACGAGCAGCAGCATCAACGGAGCCGTCACCATCTCGACCTCCACACCTGCCGCCCTTCTCAGGAGTTTCACCCTACTCTTACTACTAAGGTGCCAGGGGGGTCTCAGGCCAGGCTGGCTCAGGGCCCTCCCTGGCCACACACCGAACAACGGACGCCGTAGGGCGAACCTGCTGTACTCAATCATAAATCGCTCAGGCATTATGGTGATCTCTACGACAGCAGGTCGCGTGCGGAGATGGTCACAGCCTTCGGGTACCATCTGATCGGCCGACGACCGCCTCCACCCGACCCCGACCATCTTTCGACCAGGTGCACCCGAATCGTGGGTACTCAGCCCCCGGTCGGCGGGGCGTAAACGCGTTCCTACCAGCCAACGGCCGGCCAAGAACGGCGTCAACGGTATACGCCTGCCACTCTCCTTCCGCTGCCCTGTATGCTCGTACTCGAGACTTGATGCCTCCGGTGTACCCGGCACAAATATGTCGTTCGATTCCTGCCGATATTCGTACTCGCGATAAATGAGCTGCCAACTCGGCGTACAATACGCGGCTTTTGCGAGGTCGGTTTTCATCGCTCACGCAGTTTCGAAAAGCCACACTTTTCTCCGGAGCTCCGAGTATCGTTCCGGACCGTGCATATGACAATCCCGGTCTCGGTGTGGAAGCGAGTTTGTGTGCTGTTCCGATACTCGATGTTGTAACCAAATTAAACAGTTAGAGACTGCACAGAAAAAAACAATGGTGCACTAAGGGGCCTTGAGTGAATCCAACGGATAGCGAATATATTCTGCCTCTGCCCCCATGGCCCATAGCCTAAGTCAGCGACATTCGAGAGTACATTGTTGCCGAAAGAGCTGACAGTCGTGGTGCACTCACTCACACCAGTGGTGCATTGCACCCCGGAAGTCAAAATTAATGCAAGAGGTGTTCCAAAATGTTTATAGAGCGTTCTTGTCGTCCGGCACACCAACAAATCTCCCCCCTTCACACCCAACACCTTTCTCACTACTCCCGTATCCCGTCGCCTCGATGCATCGATGCATCGAGAAAGGTTTCAAGCAAATTATGGACGAAACACTGCCGGAGGGGTGGATGATGCACCGCTCTAAAGCGGGGGAAACGTTCTTCCACCACTTCGAGACAGGTAAGCAACCCCGATCTGGAAATCGGTTCCTGTTCTGCACGCCGATGTTGAAATGTTTCAGGTTCCCGTAGCGTACGTCTCAGGGTCCATTGGGACACCTCTCGGTTGTTGAAAAGGCGTGGTCGAAACGCACAGTCTTGTGTGGATCTCATGTCGATGAGTGTAGCTCACTGCGGCCGGCAGACGAATTCCACGACGTTCGCTCACGAACGTTGTGGTAGGAATTATCAGGTCCAAATAGATACGGTACTTGCGAGGTGAGGTATGTAGAAAACCCAAACCGAATGTTGAGCCCACAGTGCATGTACTGTCAACGAAAAAAACTGTCATCGAAATCAAATATGCCTCAGGAGGACCCGTGAACAACAAAGAAGGAACGTGGGTCAACTTGAATAGTTAGAAGGCATGCCTAACAAGCGCCATCCACACATGGGAAGTGCACACATCGTTTGCAGTCGGCTGAAACGTCCCCCCGACGCGTCTAGAGAGATGATCATCACCGATTTCATTCTTTACTGCCTCACTGAGTCTTGATGCTTGTTTTCATACACACAGCACGTTTGACACGCGAAAAAGAGGGAGTACTGCTGTTCACTATTGAGTCTCCTCTACGCGGACCCTTCGGGCATGTAGCAGTGGCGGAATTATCGTCGCAACGTAGCATAAGGACCGCGCGTTGGTGCACACGAAAAAAAAACTAGCAAACGTGGCGAGGCAGACGGGACCGGCCCAACCCTACCTTGAGCGCGTCTCGGGTTCTTCGGTTTTCAGGTTAAGTTTAACTCGCCTTCCTTCTGCTCTTTCTGTGTTCGGCATTCCAACAGGGATCACACAGTCCGATCCACCGACACGAGCTGGTCCGGCCCAGGCCGCTCTCTCGGCCTCCTCGGAACCCCCGCCATCGTCGACGTCGGGTACGATATCCGCACCTTCGGGTGCGAGGGCAGCCACTTGTCGCACGGATACCACTGAGTATGCTGGCGGGGGTGCCGACACGTCGGCTTCATCACGGCAACGTAGGGACGGGGGCAATGGCCTAGGTGAAGAACTTCAACGTGACCACAGCCATCGTTCATGGGACGGGCGGGGGGGGGTTCACAAACAGGATGATATTGCTGATACCGCAGCAGCGGGTCTCATGCGCCGTCCCTCTCTAGACAGGCCCCGGGAAATCCCGTCTCCGATGCGTCGGCTTCGCTCGCTGGAGCGATGCACAGAAATGTCCCCGTCCAGATCGCCTCCCTCACACAAGGCTGTCGGCGCATGGGAACGGTCACGCCCCACCCCCGAAGCAGCAGGGGGGCTTAGCACGAAGACGTCAAGGGGTAACGATCGCAGTCCCCAAGGTGACCGTGGCAGTGGCGACAACGGCAACGGTAACAGTGTCTACAGCGGCAACGAGCTCCGAAAGACTGGCATTAGTGTTCGAAACCTTGCGGCCAAGTTCGGCAAGGCAAGCGGGAAGCGCTTGCCGTGCAGCGACGGCGGAAGCACTTGCAGTAGCAAAACTATCGCTTCAACGCCCGCCGCCGCCGACAGCGAGATCCGTGAAGGGAACAAGCCAACACTCGTTGGCGGTGGTGGCAGCAGTAGAACCGCCGTTGTATGGCCACCATCGTCGGCGACTTCAGCACGGCAATCCACGGCGCCTCCACCACCGGCATCACCACTGATGTCTCCAGAGTCCTCACGTACTGTACGAGAGAGGAGTAGGACCTCGCCTGACGCATCACCGCCGTCATCACCACCCGCACACCCCCAACGACTTGACCAACGAGGAAGGGGGGTTGCGAGCCGCCTAGATCTGTTGAAGGCCAAAAGCAACGGCAGGGGTGTTTTCGACAAGGGTTGTGGTGGTATTGTTGGACATGAGGACCTACCTAGGACAACGGACAATACGCGCGGGCTGGAAGCTGGTGGGGGGAGAAATGATATTGAAGGGCGACTACCAGCAGAAGGAATCAACAAAGGTCCCAACATTGTGCCGGATGCACCTCATCTGGGGCTTCTCTCGAAGGCAGGGTCGATGAGAATGATAGGACCTAGCGGCAAGAAAAGCAGCGCCGGAAGACCCACTGCCACGGTCCCGAAGGCAACGCAAAGACCGATTCACGCTGGCTCTGACCATGCTCAGACCAGCAGCAACGCTAGCAACTGGTACCGGGTCGATGTTCGCGGCGGTGACAGCGAAGGGGGCATAAAAGACGATGGACAGAAAAACATCGAACGACACCAACGGCCAAGGACAAGTAAGGGCATGGTCAGGCGCAGTAGCCCCGCCCGAACCTCAAACCGGGATGGTGGACACGACGCTACTGTGTCTGCCCTCAGCAACCGTCGCACGCCGGAAGTAGAAGCAGGACCTTACAGCAGCAAACCAGGACCTTCCCCGGCGTCTGATGGCGGGTGCACTTCTCCTCCTTCCGTTGAAAGAACGCAGAGGAGGTTCTTTGACATGGCCGGGGGTGAAGGTGGTGTAGCTGGTGGTGATGACGGTGACGGGGTTGGCAACGGGGAAAAGCGGACGTCGGCCTCGCAGGAGGAGGAGGAGGAGGAGGAGGAGCAACGAATGCACGTGCAACACCAACAGCGACCGACCAAGCAAGATGATGGGGCGACGTCAGCACGCTCTGGTAGCGCTGCCCTTAAGTTCACATCAGTGACATCTCAGGGAGGCATCCAAACACAACCCCGTCGCGAATGGATGCGCCGAAGAGCTTCTACGGCATCGCCGTCCAAAATGCGAGGGCAAGACGTTCCGACAACGAAGTCGGAAAGACTTCGCGTTGGAATCGATCGCGTTGGTATCGGCGGTACGACGGGCAAAGCGTTCGTCTCCACGCCAAGCAGGAGGGCTACAAGTGCAAGTAGTAACGACAGCAGGGTGGCAGCGGAGGAAGCTCCGGCCATCGAAACATCGGAGCGACTCTCGCCTGGCAAAGCTAGCGAGCGCCCTCGTCCTGCCACGTGAGGGCGCCTGAAAACAATTTGGATCAGGGGGGTGGGTTCATGAAAGGAGGGGACGGTGCCAGAAGCTCCGGCGCCGCCACAACTTCTTTGAAACGAAAACGACCCAACTGTGCGTCCACCCGCACCAGGCTATCACCGGCAACACCGCCGTTCTGGCATGATCAGTCTCTCCGCCACTAATTCCCATGCGTATTCCATCTATCGTAGACCCAGCGAGTTGTTGCAAGACCCACTACGCATTCGAATGGTATCGATGCCGCCCCGCAAAGTACTCTGCGCCCCTCCGGCCTGGAATTCGACCGCCCGTCGCCCATCCGTTCCTTTTCTCCAGCTCTCGGGCTCGAAGCTTACCGCCAGGAGCGGGGCAGGGGCACCGCCAACAGTCACGGCCCTCGACGTCGATCCCTTATTCGCCGACGTCGTCAGTTGGGATCAGAAACGGAACGGCCGCATCGAGGGGCTGTCGAGATAGCGGCGGTGGTGCCGGAAAGTTGGCGGAAGGCGTGGCTGGGGACCCAGACGGAGCACCAGGGTACAGGTGCGCTTGACGTGCGATTGACTACAGTCATGCCCGGACAGATTCAAAGGTCGCACGACTCACCACATTTTCCATCCGCTTTTGCACGAGGAACGATGGCCATGTCGTGTTTCTTCCCATGGACAACACATCAATAAGGAAAACATATCTGCAGCAACTCGTTCGTCTAGCATTTGTTGTCCACAACAATGGTGGGGTTCGATTTCAAGACCTGCGTTGACTACTGTAGTCAATGACGCCAAGGTTGACAAGGCCCCGACAACACGCACCAACATCCGAAATCGCTGGGTAAGATGGTTTGCTATCATCGAAGAGACGAGATCGACGAGGTATGCCGAAACGCCTGCGAGCGTTCGAAGACCACACAATCTACCAAGGGGGCCGCGAACGGGCAGCTTCTGTTTTATTGTAAGAGGGTCCGGCAGGCGTTCGTGAGCAACACGTACGCACCGGCCGCGAGTGGCCCCGATTTTTACCATGAGCGGTGCTGGTGTAGATCCTGCTGCAAACGTCAGAATCCATAAGCACCCTTTCTCGCCAACGACTGTAGAATCTCTCGTCGAGCTGCTCACCAGCGATATTGCCTGTGGGAAACATTGGTCAGGGGGTTTGTGGAGAGGAGTTATTACAAGGGCAACGGAGCGGCGCAGCTCCTGAAACGATTCAACGCCAAAGCCATCACGGAGCTCATGTGTCATACCACTGCTGTGCCGAAACACGCGCTGCTGTCGTCCACAAAGGGTCATCACTTCACGGAGTCTTCCGTCGGTGAGAGCGACGTAGACCTTGAGCGAGAGGGAACAACCCGTGTTCCTCATCTTGATTTTTACTACAGGACGTTTGCCTACACCTGCCTTGTTCCACACGCTAACAGTGCGCAGGGGTGCAGACGTGGTTCATTGCTCGTCGGAAATTCGCACACACGCAGATATCGGGGTTGAAAATGCCCCCCAATGCTCATGCCGTTGGGCGCAGTACTTTTCGTACTCTGGTGATGTGATGTTTTCTAGGCGCCGATATGGGGCGGCTTGGAACCGCTGCCGTGTCAACGGTCTCCCAGCTTTATTTATTTGCCCAACAGCATGCTCTGCTTTCGTTTGCTGGTGTTTGTGATGGTCGTGGTGATATGAGCACGTTCATCACGGCTTCGAAAATTGCATTGGATGGAAATGGTCTCCTGGAACTTCGCTAGTGCAGCTTCTCGGTATCCTCGCCGTAAGTCTGCGGATACAACGTACCCCCGCGTTCACTTTCGCGCCCAGCTGATCTCCAGCAGAAAGTGAAGGCATTTTGGCTACTTTATCCATTTCAAGCCCCGACCTTTCTTTTTGGTCGAGGTATTTGGGGGTTCCAACATACCTTGAAACTATGTAGGTAGGAACGCGATAGTTGCGCTCAGACAGCATTTGTGATAACCCTTACTCTTCACTCTGTCCTTTGACCATGCTTCTGCGTCAGAGATGTTCCGAAATGTCCAAATCTACATGGGGGATGCCTCCGCGACAGGGGAGACAGTAGTCGATGGACCCGGGGACGAGAGAACTCTTCGAGACATCCTGACGTGCGGGAGGAGCAACCCTCACCTAGCGGGCGAGCTGTACTGCCAGCTCGTAAAGCAGACGCACCTCTGCATGAATGTCGCCAACGAGGTGGGACCAGTGATACTTGACAGGAAACCCTTGCGAGATGGCTCGACGGATTGGCTCGGGTCCGCAGTTAAGCTTATCGATTGGTCGAGAGAGATTGGTCGGGATGGGGTAGAGCGTTTGCACAAATTGACTATATGTACGCGACGGTAAGAAGGATACGGATGGGAGTGCTCGACACTTCTAGTGCAAGACACGGTCGAAGTGAACCCACTCTGCATACTCCATGAGCAACAAGGGCAGGGATTTATGTTCCCACCCCGAGGGGAATGGACGAAAACGCCATTCTGAACTGCCCGTGCCGTAGGCGACTGCATTGCTGGAACCCATGTGTATGTCGAGACCCTCCCCACCAACCTGTACCGCTGTGTTCGATTGCTGGTAATGCAGGAGCGTGGCTTCATCTTGCTGGCGGCTTCGGCATTCCTGTTCCCTCCGCCTACCCAAGCGATTGCATCTGTCGTGTTGGGGCACCTAGCCCTCCACCGCACTAGACATGGCCCCGTGGGGGGGCTGGCCTTGTACACGCACCACCACATGTCGAACGCCAGTGGGGATTGGATGGTAAGCTACGTCTTTTATCGCCCGCGGGGGGGGTGATGTACCGTATAGTCTTATATTGTGCGCTTGTTTTACGTCGCTGCAACCCAGGTTTCTTGTGGAACTTTTTGAGAGACGTTTCACCCCATTCCGAGGTTGAATAACACCATGAGCACCGCCCCCGGACGAACATATTACTGTCAGTATTTTGACCACCGAGCTTTGTTCTACCCCACTTGTTTTTACATGTCCAGCCCGTTCTGGAAACAGACCCATTGGTTCCGATGAGTGAGCAAATGAGAGATTGCGCGAAGAACTGCTTCATTCCAGGGACAGTCTTTGGAGTAACAATTGAAGGTATTGGGTGGGATTGAGCGTGGAATCTGGATTTACATCTCTTTTTCACGGAAACATACATCCCAAATCCTCAGTGGTGCACTTGGAACCATCGCCAAGAATACCGTAGGTGACATAAGGTATCACACCCTTTGGATCGATTTTTACAGCTCCATTACCCCACGACGAAAAGGATGTATAGCTCAAACGATACGTTTTGGAAAGCTCCTCAAGAGAAGAGACGGTTTCGACGCCACGATGTTCGGCACACTAACCTTTTCTTTCTTATGTGGAGAAATCGAGATTTGAAAATCAGTCCAGGGAGTGTGGAATCTTGTGTCACCGACGGTAGTCGTCACACGCCGGAAGCTGGGGGTGTGGAGAGTATACCGGCGAGCAAGGAGTGATTCTTCTTACCACTTAGTTTAAGTTAGCGTGATCTACCACTTACCCCTTAGCCCTTTTCACCCCCCCTCCTCGCTTTGAACCCGCTTCTCACGTACTCGAAAAGAGACTTTTCGGCAGGAGTACTACGCGGTTGGAGTGGGAGCAGTCACTTCTCCCGCTCCACCGGAAGTGTCGTCTTCGGCGAGGGTGCCGATCGTGGTGCAGCTACTCGTGCAGGTACATAGGCTAAAGTTGGGGTATGTATCACTCTAACCTGTAGAGGTTGGTGATGCACAGCCACCTCGTGTCGACTGCTTCGGGGTGGAGTCAGACGAGTCTCGAGAGCTTGTGTGTCGCTGCACTTGTTTCGCCCCACCCACCTTGGGCATCGGCAAGACATATTACTAGTAACTGTAGAATTTTTTCCATTCTCACCAACCACCAGCACGATGCCACGAGTCAGATTCAAAACGAGAAGCGGCCGACGAGGAGACCGTCGACCGGGTTTGCTTGGATCAAAACCTGTTGTGCTTTTTCTATGGTTTTCGTTAGACGATCGAGTTTCTTGGGGGCGTTCGCACGGAGGGAATATTCAGAAGACCCGGCCACGCGGGAGCAAAAGCCGCCCTCAAGGAGGCCATCTCTGCCGGCGACTACTCCTTGCTGCACAGGTACCGCATGTGCAATCACGGCGGAGGTTGCGTTGTCGCATGTGAGGGTACGACAACGCTTTGTTGTTTCCGAGTCGTTGCCTGTGGTTTGCTTCACACATACAAATGCAAGGGAAACCCGTCTTGTGCTACTTATTGGCGGTCACAACGGCACGTCGTGGAGTATTGACGGGTGCTAGTGGGTACAGGCATAGGGTCGATGTGAAGATCGTCATGTCGGCCACAATTAGGTAAGAGTACCTGCCGCGACTTTAGAATCACTTGTGTTCCTTCCTTCCAGGTGTATGTCTTGATTGACTACCCGCGTCATCGGTGTCCGTATGCTTGACATAAAACAATATCCAGGCTCAGGGATCAAGGGAAGCTTTCCAAGGGCGATCTTCCTGGAGACGAGGAGTATGAGGTGGACGTGTACGTAGTGGCAGATCTGCTCAAGGTATGTATCGAAGATCATCGACACGTGTCGACATTTGATCTGAACCCTTCTTCTTCGTACTTGACCGAGGTTGCATGAAGCCCTTACGTATCTGCGTTGGTGTTAGCCCTGAACAATGTTTCATGCGAAATCCTCATAACGTCAAAGCAATTTCAGATGCTATGTTGTCCTGAGGCCACCTCGATGCGTCCACACCACCGTTTATCATTCGCGCCACAAGTTGTGCGGTATTAAATGGGCTGTGTGCTACCGACAGGGAGAATATTGGTAGAAACAGGTTTCTCGATATCCTTGCCTTCACAGATGTTCGTCCCGGCGGTGCTGTTTCGAGAATTTCTAATGCTGCCTTGTTGAAGGTATGGCTTGGATGGTAAAGCTTCCGCCTCTGTCACGGGGAGTCCACACTAAGGAATTCCCATACGCTCTCCGCCACAGAACACTCTGATGGCAGAAAAACACATGTGCACCCTGGCACAGCAGTCACCGCCACATCAAAGCTCATTTCGAGCCTATGGGTTTTACGGCCTACCCCCTTCTACTCACGATGCCCTCTTTAACGCCAATGTTTTTTTTTCCCTGTCATGGTGGGTCATGTGCAGTATTTGAAACAGAAATGAGACGCCCCATGAGACCTCATGAGTCGCCTCAGCACATCTCATGGGGTGGCTCGTGAGATGCCATGAGGTGCCATTGGGCGGCTCATGGGGCCCATGGCACCTCGTGAGGCGTTCCGCGAGCCTTCTCAAGAGGTACCATGATCCATCTCGCGAGAAATTCCACGAAACTTCATGAGGCCTCATGACACCTCGTGACACCTCGTGACACCTCGTGACACCTCGTGACGCCTCATGAGGCCTCATGACATGGTACGTTATAGGGCCTAGGAATGAAGCTAGCCGGATGCATTTCCTACATCCAGCTGTCTTATGTCGTTATCGGAATTCATGCAGAAGCTGCCGTTTATTCTGCTGATGACAAAGAAACAGTAGAGTGTCTGTGCGGGCTTGTCTCCCAAATTGGTGCTGCTTCGCCATCACAGATGTGGCTTCGGAGTATGAGAGAACCGCTGGTACCTCCGGGGAGCTACGACAGGGCGGTGGCGGCCGGCTTGGTGGACGAGGGAAAGGAGGCTCGGCAGGAGGAGTCCATGAGGGTGTTGCTGGCACTTCCTCTACCCAACAGGTGGATAGCAGGGATATCGAGATGGGGTTTTAATAACCGCGGCAGTAGGTTCTTGCCTCCCGTTTTCTTTCATGGAAGTGTGGAAGCTTCCACGGACACTTTGGAAGCTCCGCCCGGTGGAAGCTCTTCGAAGCTAGGCAAGATTCCATCACTTCCACGGAGATGACGAGAGAGTAATACTTCCAATTTATTTCATTCCCATCCACGTGGAAATTCCTCCACGAATGTACGTGAACCTTCCATATCTCCCCTACGGGTCAATGTTTATGAGGATTCTGGCGGAAGCGCTGCAAGATTTTCCCCCAATTATGAAAACCTTAGTGTACGCGATGGAGCTTTCACCGAAGTGTCATGGTTATAGATGAACTGACGCCCAAAAAGTGTAT